GCGTCTTGACCACCCTGAATCGTGCAAGAACGCCGTTCCTAGGACTTCAACACCGCGAATCAGCGTGATTGTTGCGCCCTGGTAGTTTCAAACCGTGCCCGGCCACCGCTTCTGGGCCTTGAGCCAAATATTCCGTTGCGCTGATGTAAGTTTCAAGACCAGTGTGCGCGGCGTTACGGCGATAGCCACATTTTGAAAAAGACCCGTCCTCCATTCGTGCAGCTCTTGTCAACTTTGAGACTGATGTGCGTGGCGCTGAGGCGAGAGCCACATTTTGAGAAGCAGCCGCCCTCCATCCATGAAGCTCGTGCAAGCGTAAAGACGAATGTGAGCGGTGCTGAGGCGAGAACTCCATGTTGAAAACGATGACCCGCCCTCCACCCGTGACGCCCTTGCTGACATACAGAAACAGTGTACGCGGCGCTACGGCGAGAGCCACACTTTGAGAAGGAATCGTCCTCCATCCATGCAGTCTTTGCAAGCTTTGAAGACGAATGTGCGCGGCACCAAGGCGAGCGCCGCATTTTGAAAACGACCCGCCCTCCATCCGCGAAGCTGTTGCACACTTTCAAGACGAACGTGCGCGGCGCTAAACGCTAAGACGAGAGCCGCGTTTTGAAGAAGAGCGCCTTCCATCTGTGAAGTTCTCGCAATATTTAAGAGGAGTGCGCGTGGCGCCAAGGCGAAAACCACATTTGAAAACGGGCCGCCTTCCATCCGTGAATCGATTGCAGTTTTTACGCAAGCTTCAGGATCATAAATGGTGATGAAGTCTGATGAACATCGCCTGGCCTGCCCTACCGTCGAGACTCGCGGTGCGACAGGGAGAAGTTATGCATCATGCGGAGGAGGCGGAGGAGGCGGAGGACCAGTGTAAACCCACGACGCATCAACGATGTTGCAATAAACCCTCCTTCCAAGGTCCATTTTGATAGGTCCCCTATGAGAAATGATTATCACACCCGGAAGCGCCACGTTGGAGGACACCCGTCTGAGAATTCTCAATCGTGCCAAAACGCCATTCCTTGGACTTCAACGCCGCGAATCAACGAGGCCACCATTATTGGTATTTGCAAATCGTGTCAGAACACCGTTCTTGGGGCGCCAACCGGAAGAATTCAATAACTAATAGTAAACTTTCCACACGAATGTGCGCGGCGCTAACGCGAGAACAGCATGTTGAAAAAGAGCGAATGCTCGCGGCGCTGAGGCGGGAGCCACATTTTGACATCGAGCCGCCATCCGTGTTTGGAACTTGTGCAAACGTAAAGACGAATGTGCGCGGCGCTAAGGCGAGGGCCATATTTTGGAACATAGCCGTCCCCAGCCCGTAAAACTCTTGCACACGTTCAAGACGAACGTGTGCGGCGCTGAGGCGGTGAACACATTCTGAAAAGGAGCCGCCGTCCATCCGTGCAAGTCTTGCAACCTTTCGGACGACTGTGCGCAGCGTGAAGGCGAGAGCAACATTTAATTGGTGTAGTTGTTTGCGACGAATGTGCGCGGCGCTGAGGCGGGAGCCACATTTGAAAATGACCCGCCCTCAATCCGTGAAACTGTTGCGCACTTCGAAGACGAATGTGCGCGGCGCTAAGGCGAGGGCCACATTTTGGAAACGACCCACCCTCCATCATTGAAGCTGTTGCGCACTTCGAAGACGAATGTTCGCGGTGCTAGGGCGAGAGCCACATTTTGGAAACGACCCACCCTCCATCATTGAAGCTGTTGCGCACTTCTAAGACGAATGTACGCGGCGCTAGGGCGAGAGCTACATTTTGACATTGACCCGCCCTTCATGCGTGAAGCTGCTGCAAATGTCAAGCTTCAGGATCATTCGCGGTGAGGAAGTCTCAGGCGAAACGCCCGGCCCACCCTACCGACTCGTCTCGGAGTGCGACAGGGGGGAGTTGTTTATAAGGAAGAGGGATGAGGAGGATGAGGAGGAGGAGAAGGAGGAGGGGGAGGAGGAAGAGGAGGATGAGGTGGAGGAGGAGGTGGAGGAGGAGGAGGAGGAGGTGATGATGATGATGATGATGATGATGATGATGATGATGATGATGATGATGATGATGCTGATGCTGATGATGCTCATGCTGATGCTGATGCTGCTGCTGCTGATGCTGATGATGATGGCGATGATGATGACGAGGAGGAGGAGGAGGAGGAGGAGGAGGAGGAGGAGGAGCAGGAGGTCGAGGAGGAGGAGGAAGAAGGAGGAGGAGGGCGGCGTCGGATTCGGAGTCCGAGGAGGACCGCGCCCCACACAGCGTCGCACAACCTCAAAATCGAGAGTCTCCATATTCCGATGCGCCTGTTGGATGGCGGGGATGGGCCGTTTTTCTGCTGCCCATTGTGTTTTTGGTTGCTCTTTTGGTTGTGTGGTGCTCCAAGCGAGTCCGTCGCTCCTGCCCGAGGCCTCTGCAGCGGCAGCCGCTGGCATGTCAGCTGGTACAAGACGTGCTCGCGTGTGGCGCGCGAAATGTCCAGAGGCGCCCAAGGTCCAGAGGAGCTCGGGGTGCCGAGGTGTGGAATCGGTCTGCGGGTGCAGCGTTGCCCGCATGAGAAGCATTGTCGGCCCCAGCTTCGCGAGAACCCAAACCTAGCGCCGTCCTCGCTGGCCGAGCGCTTCGATCTGCAGTCCGGCTCCTGCTTCGTGGTCTCGGCCATCCTCATCATTTTTTTGTTCTCTTGCCATTTGTGGAGCTGACGCCGTGGATGTGATAACGATCGCGGTCTAGTGCCGTTTGGCGTGAATTGTTGTTTCGTCATCAGCGCTCGGTCATTCGATGCTGGCATGTGCACGGCTGACCTTGCGTTTCAGGCAAGATCATAAACATGTACAACGGCGTCTTCAACGCCCTCTTCGTGGTTGATTGCAAGGACTCCGTCGTCTGCCTTTGTTGCTCTCGTAGCTGCAGCTCTGACACGGGTCGTGAGTCAACTACAGGGTGCAGGTGCAGGTGCAGGTGCGTTGCTTCGGCGAGGGGGTGACGCGGAGGATCGACATCGACGAAGAGGACGAGGATCATGAGAAGAAAGGTAACCTTTTCCTTCTCCTGCGTTCTCCTCCTTCCCCCCTCCCTTCTGTCCCGCTCTCCCTGCCTCCTTCGCTTTCCCCTCCTGGTCCTCGTCCTCCTGCTCCCTCTCCTGCCCCTGCTCCTCCCCCTCGTCGCACTCACGACTTTGCGCACCTTCGCTCGGTTTTTTATGCAGCAGTCGGAGGCGTGGAGCGCTGAATCGTGCCCTGGCCAGGGCCACCGCGATCACCTTCCGGACGCGATGCGAGACCCGTCTGGCCACACTTCCGCTGTGTTGCGAGCACTTCGACGAGGATCTCGAAGCGGCGCCGACACCGGCGTCCGACGCGGCTCCGCCGAAGCTGCCGGCGCGGGTCCCTCCAGTGCACCCAGAAGCTCGACACGATGCGCCTGAGCAGTGAGCAAACGCCGCGCACGAGCGGGCACGACCACTGACCGTTGCCGTCTGCTCCGCCCGAGCCAAGCAATTGGCACGCTCCACGTCCGACAGGGCCACTTAGACTCAACCCGCGTGGTAAGGATGGGCAGCCTTCCCAGGGGTAATTGCCCTGGTATCCTTGCCCTTGGGCCCATCCTTGGCCGCCTTCGCTGGCCGCGCCCCGCTCGAAAAGCTTCGAGTGGCCTTCCAAGGCCCTTGCATCCTTATCGTGCGGCCTGACCACATGGGTCGACTGTACTCTTGAGAAGTCGATTAATGGAGAGGAAGGCATGCTGCCAAATAATTTCCAGATGTCTGAAAGATGTCTCAAACAGATTTTCAACATGTCAAAAGCATGCTTGAAACATTTTTAGATCATGTTTTCTTGTTTTTAAAACACCTTTGAAGCACATCTTTAATCCAATAATCGGATTGTTAGAGTGTCCAGTGTCATGGCATCCACACCTGTACTCAGCGTGCAAACATATTCTAAACATGTCGAAAGCATGCTTGAAACATTTTTAGAACATGTTTCTGTTTAAAACACCTTTGAATCACATCTTTAATACAATGATCGGATTGCTAGAGTGTCCAGTGTCATGGCATCCACACCTGTACTCAGCGTGCAAACATATTCTAAACATGTCAACAGCATGCTTGCAACATTTTTAGAACATGTTTCTTTACACCTGTGAAGCACATCTTTAGTCCAATGATCAGATTCTTCGAGTGTCCACTGTCATGGCATCCACAACTGCACCCCGCGTGCACCGACCCTCGTGAGCGTGGTTTGGGGGCCTGGCCGTCGGCAGGAGCGCCAGCCGCCGCCTCCGGGCACGGCTCGTGCAGCCGCCCACGGGCCCGCACGGTGCCCGTCGTAGACGGCACGAGCAGCTGCCTCTGGCGGGCGCTCCGGAGCGGCGGCGCACGGCCCGGGAGCCGTGGCAAAGGCGAGCAGCACCGGTAGCCGAGGCATCGTGGGGCCCGCGGGGTGCCGGAGGAGGCGGAGCGTCGAGACACAGCCCGATGGTGGAGCGGCTGCGTCGCAACGAGTGCTGCGGGCTGACGAGGATTCGGACAGGGGAGGCGCGGGAGGAGCGGGGAAGAAGCGCACAAGCAAACGGACCAGGCCAACTGAGCGACATCGCACGAGTGAGAAGGCACACGCCAGCATGGAAGAACAGCGCACGAACGGCTGCAGCTCAATGGATCCGCGACCCGAGGCACCCGAGGGATAACTCTGGCACGACACAGAAGGAAGGTAGCCACCAGACAGCGGGCACCGTGAACATTTGTGGGTGTCTATGGCGATGTGTTTTCACATACGCCCACCCGCATTAGCCCCTGCTCGGTCGTGTTACCGTTGGCCCCGTAGGCTTCAATAGCCCGTGACCCCAGAGAGCTCTCAGCGAGGCCGTGGCTGATGTGCAGCACGGAGAACATGAGTCGCACCACGGTGGGCCCAGTATTGACCCATGAGGAGTGAGTGAGCCAAGTTTCGGCCACCTTCGTTGGATATCCTGCCAAAGTAGCACATACAATCTCAGGGACAAGCCGTGGCCATTGTAACTGGGACATGTCATGCGCGCGTGCGGGCAGTTCACAACCTCCTACACGACGCGAGCGCAGTGGTGCTGACAGAATGCGCTAAGGAGCGGCTTGTTCCTGTCACGGAATCGGTGCGCAAGGGCGCCGTTAGACGGTAACCCCTTTCTATCGGGCGCACGGCTGGGACAGACGATGGCACGAAATTCGGTCCTCAACGCACCTCTAATAGACGTTGGCCGTTGGCCTGCGGCAAATCCCGCCACCGTGCTAGCCCAGCACTCCAGGTGTCGACTGTTCGAAGAGCGCACAGGACGCTTTCAAGTGCGGCGCGGCCGAATTGGTATGGCGTGCCGTCGACATGTCCTGGCGTGGGCTTCGTGGCAAGGGTTCATGACAGGGGTTGCCTCTTCCGCACCAAGCCCGGTGACCGCGATGGCCAGGGGGGCGTCTTGGGCACGCAACAGTTCGAGCACAATTGCGTCCTCTTCCAAGGAGTGGAGGGAGATACCACTTCCGTAGTGCACCCTACCTGGGGCCCTGTCAGGTACGATGGTGACTGGCACCGTCCAGTGGCTATCGTCAAGGCTGATGACTTGCTTGCCCGCACCCTGTCGAGTGGCAGATTGGCCAGGGGACGCTGTTGCGTCAGGCCGTCTCACGTTGTGTTGTCTTACATCGCTCGTAGTGAGCGCTCGTAGAGCTGATGTGGTGGCGAGCGCAAAGGTTCATGAGCTCAGCGTAGAGCTTGGTGGCATTAGCGCGGTGCTGTAAGCAGATAGTGTCGAGTTCGCTGTTGTGCTTGTGGGCCAGATCGTCGTCATAGACCTGCAAAGCACGCTCTACGCCGCGGCTGCTCTGGAGCGCTGCGACGCAGGCCGCCTTGCGTGCGGGAAGGCTCTCGGGCTCGGGGGCTCGGCGGCCTTTGGCTTTCGCCTTGGGCGGCTTGGAAGGCTGACGAGGAATGCGGCCCTGTCGCTTGGGCGCCATGGCTGCGAGCCTTACTGAAGGAGGCGGCGCGAATCGGCTCTGTGCCGCTGGCGCAGGTATGGTCTCGCCAGGCTAGGGGGATGGGCGCGGAAGGCTTTGCGTCTGCTGGCTGCGCCTGGTCCAGGAGGCCCTCGAGCCGAGATTAGAGGAGAGAGAGAGAGAGAGCGACTGGGCCAGGCAAGAGAGAGAGAGAGAGAGAGGGAGAGAACGAGCGAGAGTGGAGGAGGCAGAGAGGTGGCTGGGAAGCCCAGCGACGCCAGCCGCTGACAGCCCCGCCTACTGCTGGTGACACCAGCAGGCCGTGCCGGGTGAAGGTCTGGCGCGAGATCGTTGGACGGCCCACGGAGGCAAAGCATAGGGGGGGGACCAGACAGGGGCGAGGAGCAGGAAGCGGACGCAGAGGTGGCTGGGACGCCCGGCGACACCGACCCTGTCCGCCGGCGGTGGCGGAGCTGCTGCCGCTCTCAGTGCGCCACGGTGTAGGCGGCGGCTCAGCACGGTGGCGCCAGCTACGTGCCCGCCGTCCAAGCAACACACACACACACACGAACACGAATCACAAGCACGAGCACAGACACAAACACAAGCACAGACACAAGCACACACACAGAAACATCTACGGGTAAGCCCTCGCGTGCCGGAGGCCTGGCGAGCCGGCTCCCAATCTCTCAGCTTTCGGCCCCAGTGCACTTACAGCTCAGGGGAGAGGAACCGCCCGTCACCCCTCCTTCTCCTCGGCTTTTCCTCTCCGCCTGCTCCTCCATTCCCTTCCCTTCTAAATGCAGCCTCCCTGTCGCACCCCCAGACGTGCCGGCGGTAGGGCGGGCTGGGCGTTTCGCCCGAGATTTCCTCACCGTCTATGACCCTGAAACATGAAATCTTAAATAGTTTCACGGATGCAGTGCGGCTCGTTTTCAAAATGTGGCACTCATTTTAGTTTAGCACCGCGCACGTTCGTCTTACGAGTTTGCAACTTCACGGATGGAGGGCGGGCCGCTTTCCAAATGTAGCTCTCACCTTACCGCCGCGCACATTCGTTTGTAAGTTTGCCGCAGTTTCGAGGATGGAGGGCAGTTCCTTTTCAAACTGTGACTCTCGCCGTAGCGCCGTGCTCATTTCAAGAGTTCGCAGCTGCTTCAAGGATTTATAAAGTTGAATGCCCAAGAGTTGTGTGTCTGGCTTGGTTCAGGATTGTCAGGACGCAGCAGTCGCGTTGATGTGTCCCAGGAGTGGTGTTCTGGCACGATATTGGATGGTCTGGACGCAATAGTTAAGTTGATTCGCGGCGTCGATCGACGACTTTCAAACGGTTGTCTTCCAGCGGGGCACCTCCCGCAATGAAAAAAAAGTCTTGTACGGACCTGCGAAGAGGGAGAGAGAGGGTTTCATGCAACATAGTTGATGCGTCTTGAGTTTACACTGGTCCTCGTCCTCGTCGTCATCGTCCTCGTCCTCATCCTCCTCCCTCCTCCTTCTCCAATTACACACTTCTTGACGCTTCGCGTGTCCCCACCAGCTGACGGTGCTGTTTGCCTGACTCACACCGAGCGATCGACCTCTGCGTGTTTATGGTCGCGCCGCCGCGCCATTTTGGCTGCGCTTACTTCCTTGTCGTTACCGGGATTACCAACGCCACCGGGTTTGGGAGTATCGGTTCTGGCTCTCCTTCTGAGTGGCTGCCCGCTCGCTCGCTTCGCTTGCCTTTCTTTTCCTGCTGCCTAGTCGCGGCCCGACTAGTGTTCGGACGGCTTTCGACCCGCCTCGCGAGCCTGTTGGCCAAAAAGTATCCCCCCCACCAGCCCATCCAGAAATGATGCCCATGAGATCTGACGGGGGGAGAAAGGAAAATACATGCATAGCCAAAAAGCAAGCGAGGCTATCTTGAGCCATCCTGGAGGTCATCTGGGGCTCTCTGAGCCCGTTCGGGGGCCTCCTGGGTGCCTCTCGGGTGCCTCTTGGAGGCCTCTTGGGGCCTCTTGGGGCGCTCTTGGAGCCCTCTTGGGGGCCTCTTGGGAGCCCTGGGGGGGCCTCTGGGGGCCATCTTGGAGGCGGTGGGTCAAAGGAGAAGGGCCCTCGATGCAATTAGCTCCCCCCCTCGGGGGCCACGATCCTCGTGAGGGGTGTCAAAAAATGACCCTCCCAGGGGCCGAGAAATGACACTCTGACACATCGGGCCCCCTCCCCCAAAAAACCAAGGGAGAGGAGGGGGAGGGTTCCCCTCCCCGCAGGGACGAGGGGTCGTGGAAGAGGAAAGAGACCCTCGTTAGACCACCTGTCGCCCAGAGGGCTGGTGGGATGTGAAAACTAGTCTCCTCTCTCCCCTGATGACGTCCTGAAGATACCCGGGCCACCTCCGCGTATTGTTTTTAGACGCAGGATTCCATTTTTTCCCCAAAACAAATGCTGCTTCCGCTGGGGTGCTGATCTCGTTTTCGGGCTTCCGCTCGTTCCGAAACGTGCTCCCGCTGCAACGCTCGCCTCATTTCCGCGCTTCCGCTCGTTCCGAATCGTGCTCCCGCTGCAGCGCTTGCCTCATTTCCGCGCTTCCGCTCGTTCCGAGTCGTGCTCCCGTTGCAGCGTTGGCGTCATTATTTCCAGTACCATGCCGCGGCATGGTTTTCGGTCCTTCCAAACAAGCCCCCAAATCTAAAAACATACCACCGAAAAAAACCATCGGAAGTGTTTACACATTCTGTGCCGATGTGTTGATTTTTTTTGGGCCGCAGAAGCCCCCCCCCACTTTGGGGCGTCGCCACGCCATGATATGTCATGCTACGCGTTGATCTTCAACATGATGCTATGCCATATAATGCGATGCCACGCTACGATATCCGACTGTGCGAATAGAGAGGAGATCTACGCCATGGTAAGGGATGGGAGGGAGGTGTACGACGTCAGATTTGACGCGAGCGCACGCACGCAGCTTGCCTCCTTCCAATCCCCCTCCTTCTCCCACTTCCCCTCCCCCCCCCACTCCCCCTCACTCCCCCTCCCCTCTTCGCCTCCCCTGCTGCTGCTGCTGCTGCTGCTGCTGCTGCTCCTCCTGCTCCTCCTCCTCCTCCTCCTCCTCCTCCTCCTCCTCCTCCTGCTACAATAACTCACTAGGAGTGCAATACTATTCTCTTCTCTCCCCTCAGTCTGTGGCGGGATCTGTCTCGGAGTGTTCGGCCACCCCTCGCTTATTGTCTTTTCCACAGGATGTCGGCGAGTGTTTTTTGTTTCAAAATGCTGCTCTCGCTGAGGCGCTGGCCTCATTTTCGGGCTTCCGCTCGTTCCGAATCGTGCTCCCGCTGTAGCGCTGGCTTCATTTCCGCGCTTCCGCTCATTCCGAGTCGTGCTCCCGCTGCAGCGCTGGCGTCATTATTTCTAGCGCCATGCCACGGCATGGTTTTCGGTCCCTCCAAAATGCAACTCGCTGGATTAAAAAGTGGAGACCGTGGGGATCGAGAAAACACGGTTGGCCTCCCGTTAGGCCCCGGGGCCCTGGGACAATGTTGGACTTGGGGCCGATTCGGGAATTGCAATGCGTATCTCGCCCCTTTTAAAGTGACAACGGCCAAATGGGGCCAGCGTCTGAAAATGCGATTCCGCCTGAGACTTCCTCAACAATCAAAGGCAGCAGCGTGGAATGGGGATTCCCCGCTGCAATGTCCCGGCGGGAATCCGCGGGTCCTGCCCGGAGACTGCGAGGAGGACATCCACCTCCACGCCCATATCCTCCTTGACGTCCACCACCTCCTCCTCCTCCTCCGTCTTTCGCAATAAGCACCTGCTCGTGCACCTTCTCATGCAGCACCACCCTGGCATCCCCCTCCCCATCGTCCTCCTCCTCCTCCTGGCCATCCTGGTCCTCCTCCTCCTCCTCCTCCTCCTCCTCCTCCTGTTCGTCCTCCTCCTCCTCCTCGTCCTGCTGTTCCTCCTCCTCCTCCTCCTCCTCCTCATCCCTTACCTCCTCCTCGTCCTCCTCCCTGTCCTCCTCCACCTGCTCCTGCACCAGATCATCCTTCTCCTTCACCTGCTTCCTGTCCTCTTCGTCCTCCTCCTGCCCGCGGGCGGGTTGAAATGTGTCCCCCAGGTGCGGTTGCGGTTGCGCGCCCGCGGGCGGTTTGAAATGTGTCGCCCAGTAGCGGTCGCGGTTGCGCGCCCGCGGGCGGGGCGAAATGTGTCGCCCAGTTGCGGTTGCGGTTGTGCGCCCGCGGGCGGGCTGAAATGTGTCGCCCAGTTGCGGTTGCGCGCCCGCGGGCGGGTTGAAATGTGTCGCCCAGTTGCGGTTGCGGTTGCGCGCCCGCGGGCGGGTCGAAATGTGTCGCCCACGGTTGCGGTTGCGCGCCCGCGGGCGGGAAAGTGTGTTTAAATTTGCGCGCCCGCCGAAAAATGAAATGTGTCGCCCAGTTGCGGTTGCGGTTGCGCGCCCGCGGGGGGTTGAAATGTGTCGCCCAGGTGCGGTTGCGGTTGCGCGCCCGCGGGCGTGTTGAAATGTATCGCCCAGTTGCGGTTGCGGTTGCGCGCCCGCGGGCGGGTCGAAATGTGTCGCGTAGTTGCGGTTGCGGTTGCGCGCCCGCGGGCGGGTTGAAATGTGTCGCCCAAGTGCGGTTGCGGTTGCGCCCGCGGGCGGGTTGACATGTGTCGCCCGGTTGCGGTTGCGGTTGCGCGCCCGCGGACGGGTCGAAATGTGTCGCCCAGTTGCGGTTGCGCGCCCGCGGGCGGTTTGAAATGTGCTTTTCAAGGTGCCCTCCTGACGTTCAGTCAGTCGATCAGTCAGTCAGTCAGTCAGTCAGTCAGTCAGTCAGTCAGTCAGTCAGTCACCGGCACCCGGCTCCGCCGGGAGACAACTTTCCGATCGCCTTCCAGGTCGATCTGCAAATTTGCCGCGACATTTGGAAGTGGCGATTTCGCGTGAGACTTCCTCAGAGAGCAATCAGATCCATCTCCATGCCGCTTGAAAGTGGCGATATCGCCTGATGACTCCTCCCAGGGTATTTTCCGACCGCTCTTCACACCGCCAAATAATGACGATTTCGTTTGGGCTGTCCTAGCAACCGCGCGTCTCGTCCACCCCTGCGTCGCCGTTCCTCAGTTCGGGTCACGACTCTGTCTGGGAGTTAATTACTTGGGAACGATCGAATGTCGAAGTTTTTTTTTTTTTTTTTTTGTTGTTTTTTTTTCCCCCCCCTTTCTCTCTCTCTCTCTCGATTGGCGAAGACCCAGAGGTTGTTCCCTGGCATTGTGCCGATCACCACTTTTTATCCAGGGGGTGGTAGGACCTCAAAACTAGAAAATGGCCCACCAAAGCAATCATCGGAAGTGATTACACATTCGGTGCCGGTTCGTAGGTTTTTTTGGACCGCAGAAGCCCCCCCCCACTTTGGGGCGTCAGGCTACGCGTTAATCTTCAACACCATGCTATGCCATGTAATGCAATGCCCTGCTACGACATCCGACCGTGCGAATAGAGAGGATATCTACGCCATGGAGAAGGATGGGAGGGAGGGGTAGGACGTCAGATATGACGCGAGCGTATCTATCTTGCCTCCTCCCCCTCCCCTTCCCCCTCTTCCTCCCCTCCCCCTCCCCCTCCCCCTCCCCCTCCCCCTTCCTCCTCCTCCTCCTCCTCCTCCTCCTCCTCCTCCTCCTCCTCATTCCTCTTTGTTGACATGTCGATAACTACCGGCGTCCTTTTGATGCCCTAAGGCTGCACCCCGCCCAGTCGGGCGGGGGGGGGACCATGTTGACTATGGCTCCGCTTGGCCGAACGGTTAGGGGCGTGCCATGAGGTGGGGGGGAGTGACCAGGAGCGGGGACGACATGAGAGAGAGGGGAGGTACGGAGAAGGCGCGGGAAGGGACCGAGGGAGCGGGCACCCCAGGATCCAGGAGGAGCGTAGGTGGCGTCGGCAGCCCTGGATGCCAGGACGAGCTCCTCTGCGTCTCCGTCCTCTTCTGCTCCCCCCCTCCTCCTTCTCAGCCCTCGGTTTGCCCTGCCTTCCTCTCCCTCGCTGTCCCTGCGCCAGGGAGGAGGGGGCTGGAACGGGGGACAAAAGCTTTGCCCCGATTTGTGGCCGCCACAACCGCCGCGGCGACCTCCAAAACCGACCCGGCAGCACCTGGGGCTTGCAGTTCCAGTCGCTGGCGTTTTTGTTGTGAGCGCCCCGTTGTCGAAGGCCACCCTGAAGAACGGCTTCGGGAAGATGCAGGGTCCTCCGGCGACATTGGATAGTGCCTGTGGTACCCCCGCAGCTCTTGCTTTCTTTGCGGCGATGCTGGATCTTTTCGCCATTGAGGGTAAACTCGCGATCAGCGCTGTATGAGACGAGCATGAACGCCATCATGGTGTTCATATATGAGCAAATATCTAGTCATTGCTAGTTTCTCTATGTGTATGCTCGCACTCATTTATTTGACGATGGTGGCACTTATCCTCCTCCGTCCACGACGCTTGGGAAGCCCACTGCTGTCCCGGCTGGCCACGTTGACGGTGTTCCACACAGTTCTTTGGAGTGCCATCCAGATTGCACTTTCACTGCCTCTCTCTCTTGCCGTCTTCCTCCTTCCTCTCCTCTGGTCCCTCCCCCTCCTTTCCGCTCCTGCTTCGCAGTTGAGTCCTGTGCACATGCAGCCTCTCTTCGATCCTTTTTCTGATTATTGGAGAGGCCTGACGGCTGGTGCCGCCGACCCTGATCGAAAGGGCTAGGAGTGGGGGGAGGCAGCGGAGGATGAGGATGAGGAGGAGGAGGAGAAGGAGGAGGAGCAGGAGGAGGAGGAGGAGGAGGAGGAGGAGGAGGAGGAAGAGGAGGAGGAGGAGGAGGAGGAGGAGGAGGAGGAGGAGGAGGAGAAGTGCATCCTTTGTGTGCCCGCTCGAAGAAAGTGCGCCCCGGGAGTGTGATATTCTGACTTGGGACGTGCTCCCGGAAGAGGAAGAAGTGCATCTCGGGCGTGCCCCGCCTCTGAGGAGGAGGAGGAGGAGGAGGAGGAGGAGGAGAAGGAGGAGAGGAGCAGGAGGAGGAGGAGGAGGAGGAGGAAAGGAGGAGGAGGAGGAGGACCAGGAGGAGGAGGAAGTGCATCCCGTGCGTGCCCGCTCGAGGAAAGTGCGCCCCGGCGGGCGTCGTATCTGCCCCGGCCCCCCCCCCCCTGCGGGGAAGGGATCAAAGGGAAGGGGCTTCCCTTCGACTCCACTACGACGTCGTTTAATTTCGCTTTGGATAGCGCGCTTGAGGAGGAGAGCCCTGGGAGGGGGAGAACGGAGACGACGGAGACGACGAGTCGAACGGAGAAGCCCCTCACACACGCCGACAGGGTCGGCGGATGACGGAAGCGTCTTCGAGGAACGAGAAGCGAGCTAGACGTTTTGGCTGAATCCTCCTCATATCAGTAAGAGATCTCTTAACTATAGGGGGTGGCGGGTCGCACGGTATACAGGCTTAGCGGAATCCTCGGGATGGCGATTTTACGTGAGACATCCTCACAAAAACGAGATCTTCGCGACATCGCGTTTAACACAAACAAGCGTTTCGCTCGAGACATCCTCGACAAGTTGATGACAGCGAAATGTCGCCGTCTGTGAACATGTGCGTTTCGCTCGGGACATCCTCGAAAACATGAGATGACGACTGAAGTCTTTAACTAACTCTTATGTTAAGAATTGCGATTTCGCTAGGGATATCCTCAGAAAACGAGCGGCAGCACGGCGGACCAGAACGAAGAGCACGGCAGAACATTTGCATTTCGCTAGGGACATCCTCAACAAAATGAGATGTCCTCAACGTCGTCTTGATATCGTTCTCGAAGTACCTCAAGATGACGAAATGAGAGGCCAAAAAGCACGTCAAGATGGCTGTCAGAACGATTGGGGGACTTCCGAGAATAGCGATTTCGCTAGGGACATCCTCAAAAAGTGAAAACATACACCAGCATCGACTTGAAAACTGTTGTTCTTACATAGTTTTGACTTTGCTTCTGAAAAGGCTTCCAAACGGCCCAAGACAGCCTTCAACAATGTCGATTTCGGTAGGGACATCCTCAAACAATTGATGCGTGCGACATCGCATCGTAATGATCTTAGGAGGGCATCCGGAAGCAAAAGAAGGCCACAACATGGCTCCAAGAGCGCCCTCAAGGTTGCTGAAAATAGTGATTTCGCTAGGGGCATCTCCAAAAAAATAGCACATCGAACAACATCGTTTTGAAAACTGCTGTTTTAACATCGTCTTGGGATCGCTCCTGAAAAGGCTTCTAGATGGTTTAAGCCAGTCATCTAAAAATGACGATTTCGCTAGGGACATCCTGAAAAAATGAATATGTGTAACATCGGACTGTAACGGTTTTGTAAGGCATCAAGAAGGCCCCCAACGGCCCCACCCAAACAAGCCTAAATTTGACTCCCAGGAGCGCCCTCGAGACGATCCAAAATGGCGATTTCGCCTGAGACATCCTTACAAAAATGAACTGTTCACAACATCGATTTCATCAAACATGAGCGTTTCGCCTGAGACATCCCTTAAACATGGGAAGCCGCGAATTCGACGGATGTTCAAAAACGAGCGTCTCGCCTGAGACATCCTAACAACAATGCTATCTTGGAGTGGCGTTTTTACTACCTCTCGTTTTAAACATCGCGCTCTCGCTGCATACATCCTCAAAACATCGGGCGGAACATGGCTGGCGAAAAAAGAGCAAGGCAGAGAATGAGCAGTTCTGCCGTGCTCCTTCGCTCACGGGGTCTATTCTGCAATGCTCGTTTTTTTGTGTGTGCCGTCCTCCTTCGCTCTACGGGCCTATTATGCCATGCTCCTGGCCATTTTATGTCACAATCTTTTGTTCTTGGGGCTTATGCTGCTCTGCTCCTGGTCGTTTTCTGCCGTGCTCCTTAGCTCTTGGAGCATATTCTGCCGTGCTCCTTCGCTTTCGGGGTTTATTCTGCCGTGCTCCTTGTGTTTTTCTTGCATACTCCTTCTTCCTTGGGGCGTATGATGCTGTATTCTTGCATCTATCTTGCCGTGCTCCTTAGCTCTCGCGGTCTATTCTGCCGTGCTCCTGGTCACTGGTCGTGTTTTGCAATGCTCCTTCTTTCCTGGCGCCTATTCTGCCGTGCTCCTCAGCTCTTGGGGTCTGTTCTGCCGTGCTCCTGTTTTTTTGCTGTCATGATCCTTCGCTCTTGGGGCCTTTTCTGCCGTGCTCCTCAGCTCTTGAGGTCTATTCTGCCGTGCTCTTTGTTTTTGTTTCTGCCGTGCTCCTTCGCTCATGGGGCCTATCCTGCCGTGCTCCTGGTCTTTTTCTGCCGTGCTCCTTAGCTCTGGGGTATTCTGCTGTGGTCCTGGTCTTTTTCTGCCGTGCCCCTGAGCTCTGGGGGTCTATTCTGCCGTGCTCCTGGTCATTTTCTGCCGTGCTTCTTCGCACTTGGGGCATCTTCTGCCGTGCTCCTTGTCTCTTGGGTTCTATTCTGCCGTGCTCCTGTCTTTTTCTGGTTTGCTCCTTCGCTCTTCGGGCCTATTCTGCCGTGCTCCTGGTCTTTTCTGTCGTACTCCTTGGCTCCTCGGGCCTTTTCTGCTGTGGTCCTGGTCTTTTCTGCCGTGCCCCTGAGCTCTGCGGGTCTATTATGCCGTGCTCCTGGTCATTTTCTGCCGTGCTTCTTCGCACTTGGGGCATCTTCTGCCGTGCTCCTTAGCTCTTCGGGTCTATTATGCCGTGCTCCTGTTTTTTTTCTGCCGTGCTCGGCAGCTCTTGGAGTCTATTCTGCCATGCTCCTGGTTTGTTTCCGACGTGCTCCTTCGTTCATGTGGCCTATTCTGCTGTGCTCCTGGTCTTTGTCTGCCGTGCTCCTGCTTTTTTTTTTTCTGCCGTGCTCCTTCGCACTTGGGGCATATTCTGCCGTGTTCCTTGTCTCTTGGGTTATATTCTGCTGTGCTCCTCGTCTTTTTCTGGTTTGCTCCTTCGCTCTTGGGGTCTATTTTCCCGCACTCCTTCAGCTCTCGGGGTCTACTCTGGCGTGCTTTTTTTTTTTCTGCCGTGCTCCTTCGCTCTTGGGGCCTATTCTGCCGTGCTCCTGGTCATTCTCTGCCGTGCTCCTTAGCTTTTGGGGTCTATCCTGCCGTGCTCCTGGTCTTTCTCTGCCGTACTCCTTCGCACTTGAGGCATATCCAGCCCTGCTCCTTAGCTCCTGGGGTCTATTCTGCCGTGCTCCTGGTCTTTTTCTGCCGTGCTCCTTCGCTCTTGGGGCCTAATCTGCCGTGCTCCTGGTCTTTTTTTATGCCTGCTCCTTAGCTCTTGAGGTCTAATCTGCCGTGGGCCTGGTCTTTTTTCTGCCGTGCCCCTGAGCTCTGGGGGTCTATTCTGCCGTGCTCCTTGTCATTTTCTGCCGTGCTTCTTCGTATGTGGGGCATCTTCTGCCGTGCTCCTTGTCTCTTGGGTTCTATTCTGCCGTGCTCCTCGTCGGTTTCTGGTTTGCTCCTTCGCTCTTCGGGCCTATTCTGCCGTGCTCCTGGTCTTTTCTGTCGTACTCCTTGGCTCCTCGGGCCTTTTCTGCTGTATTTCGGTCTTTTCTGCCGTCGTCCTTAGCTCTTGGGGCATCTTCTGCCGTGCTCCTGGTCTTTGTTCTGGCATTTTTTTCGCTCTCGGGGTCCATTATGCCGTGCTCCTTAGCTCTTGGGGTCTATTCTGCCGTGCTCCTGGTCTTTTTCTGCCGTGCTCGGCAGCTCTTGGAGTCTATTCTGCCATGCTCCTGGTTTGTTTCCGACGTGCTCCTTCGCTCATGGGGCCTATTCTGCTGTGCTCCTCCTGGTCTTTGTCTGCCGTGCTCCTGCTTTTTTTTTCTGCCGTGCTCCTTCGCACTTGGGGCATATTCTGCCGTGTTCCTTGTCTCTTGGGTTCTATTCTGCTGTGCTCCTCGTCTTTTTCTGGTTTGCTCCTTCGCTCTTGGGGTCTATTTTCCCGCACTCCTTCAGCTCTCGGGGTCTACTCTGGCGTGCTTCTGTTTTTTTCTGCCGTGCTCCTTCGCTCTTGGGGCCTATTCTGCCGTGCTCCTGGTCATTCTCTGCCGTGCTCCTTAGCTTTTGGGGTCTATCCTGCCGTGCTCCTGATCTTTCTCTGCCGTACTCCTTCGCACTTGAGGCATATCCAGCCCTGCTCCTTAGCTCCTGGGGTCTATTCTGCCGTGCTCCTGGTTCCCTACCTAGGCTCTGCCTAGAAGGGTTCTTACTCTCTTAGCTTAAAGGGGCCGGGCAGTGTAAAGCGCCCCGGGCGGTTCCCCCAGTCCCCTGGGAGCGGTTCCTCCCAGTCCCCTGGGAGCTTTAGCTTTAGCTTTAGCTTTAGCTTTAGCTTAGCTTTAGCTTAGCTTTAGCTTAGCTGTAGCTTAGCTTTAGCTTAGCGTTTCGCTTAGCTGTTCGCTTAGCGTTTAGCTTAGCTTTAGCTTAGCTTTAGCTTAGCTTTAGCTTAGCTGTAGCTTAGCTGTAGCTTAGCTTTAGCTTAGCTTTAGCTTAGCTTTAGCTCAGCTTTAGCTCAGCTTTAGCTTAGCGTTTAGCTTAGCTTTAGCTTAGCTTTAGCTTAGCTTTAGCTTAGCTTTAGCTTAGCTGTGGCTTAGCTTTAGCTTAGCGTTTAGCTTAGCGTTTAGCTTAGCTTTAGCTTAGCGTTACTGTTACTACTAATGCTGCTTTCCTAGGGGTTCCAACTCCTAGGTAGGGTCGCACTGGGATCATTTTTTTCCTGTGCTCCTTCGCTCTTGGGGCCTAATCTGCCATGCTCCTGGTCTTTTTCTGCCTGCTCCTTAGCTCTTGAGGTCCGTGCTCCTGGTCATTTTCTGCCGTGCTCCTTAGCTTTTGGGGTGTATTCTGCCGTACTCATTTGCTCTTGGGGTCTATTCTGCCGTGTTCCTTGTCTTTCTCTGCCGTGCTCCTTCGCTCTTGGGGCCTATTCTGCCGTGCTCCTGATCTTTTTCTGCCGTGTGCGCCCAGAAGCTCTGCCAAAACGACCACCGCGACGATCCGCACGGCAGATACAGGAACACGGCAGAACACACAGAGCACACAGAGGCACGGCAGAACACAGAAGCACGGCAGAACAGGAGCACGGCAGAACACACAGGAGCACAGCGAAACCCACCCCGCACGCACGCCGACACGCGCGCCACGGCATACCTGCGCGGCATAACAACAACAGAGCATTTTCCACATGCTTGGTGGACTAAAGCGACGCTTCCCGTTCTTGTCCGGTCAGGTTTTCCAAAGAATTGCCAATCGCGCACTCTTCTGCCCATGCGTCCTTCCAGATGCTCGGCTCAATGGGGTCCTTTGCGCTACCCGACCATTCCGTCGTGCAAAGGTCTCAGTGCACGTTAGAGAGCAGTGAACGTGTTAGTACGGCTCTGTGTCGAACGCTTTCCAGGACCCGCTGAGGCTTTGGGGACCAGCCAGGAACGCGGCACGCCTTCAACATCGCATTCATCCAAGTTGATGGAATCGCACGACTTGTGCTCGTGGCTGCGATTCGCAATCGTTGTTTCACAGTATTCTAGGATTGTCATCGTCGTGTAGGTTTTCGCAAATTGCGAAGCAAAGCTTCCTCCTTGGCTGCATTTGGTTCGACGCAACGATCTGTGTCTGAATATTGGCACACCCCATAGGGCATCCGTTTCAGATTGTGAAGTCATGCCAGCTTGGGAATCATTTGTGACACTTGTTGCTTGTTTGCTCTGCCCAGTGAGAATAGCATGATACCACGGGTGTGTGTAGTGCAGCGTTGCGCGAAACCATGTCGCAAGTGACAGTCGAGAAGCGATAATCCAGTGAACAGAAAGTAGGCCTGCATGCCAGTAAGCAGACGTGACGTGACCGTCGGGTGACACCTGGGATGCCTGCGTGGACGGGAGAGACGAATTGACAGCCTCAGGCAAATTCCAAGATGGTGCACTTGCAGGCCAATGCTCAGGCAGCTGCTGCGTACTCAGCACTACATTGTCCATCTCCTCGGCCTCTCTTCGCGGTCGTCTGTGTCGTGGCATTTGCGTACGCAGCGTGTGGCACGCGTGAAAGAGCGCCTTCTGAGCACGCCTGGAGGCAGTCGTGCGGGGAGGCTCCGAGCCGGTCTTCCCCCTCAGAGTTATGGGGGGGGGCAGCCCGACCCACCCTTCTCAGGCGCCGTCGGCGGCTCCTGGCGCCAGCAAGCGACCGAGGACGACGACGGCGACGACGGCGATGTCGACATGGACGGCGACGACACCCGACGCCAGCAAACGAAGACGACGACGTGTCCCGCCCGACCGACTCGCCCACCGACGACGTCGACGACGTGTCCCGCCCGCCCGCCCGACTGACAGCCTCGCCGGCAATGGACGACGACGGCGACAATGACGGCGCCGACAGCGACGGCGACGGCGACGATTCCCGGCGCCGGAAAACGACGACGACGTGTCCCGCCCGACTGGCTCGCGCACAACGACGTCGACGACGTGGCCCGCCCGCCCGCCCGACCGACATATTCGCTGACAAATGACGACGACGACGTTATAACCATTCCCCCCGACTTTCGGAGAGGGGGCAGGGGCGGGTTGGGGGGGGTCTCGCCGGGCAGGTTGGGGAGGCCTCCTCTCGAGCGGAGGTGGGGGATTCTCGAAGGGGGGGGGTTGGTTCCAGAGCGGGGGAGGTTAGGTTGGGGTTTTGCACCAGTGAAGCGCACGCAGACGACGCTCTCGCGGATGTGTCGGTCCTGATCCCCAGTGGGGTTTCCTTCGGCGCTCCAGGAATGTGGGATGGCCTTGTCGCTTGTTTGCGCATCATCATTATAACACTTCTACGTGTGCATCTGCTTTAACATACATCCGCATTTTGGCTAGATGTGAAATGCTTTCTAAAAGAGCCCAACTAAGCCTGTGAGGACCTGAAGTTCTCCGACGACCCGTCTAATATCCCTCTTGGAGTCTTCTTGGTGGTATCTGGGGCCGTCTTGGAGACCTCCAGGACCATCTGGGAGTCCTCTTGGGCCGGCTTGGGTTCCTTTGAGCCTTCCTGGGGTTCCAGGCGCCTGAAGTGGCGAGAACACGAACTCATGAAGACAAGCATGTAGATGACTCCCGAGGGCCTCGGGGCTCGTCTTTTGGGGCTCAATTAGGGTGTTTTGATGGCCTTTGAGCCGTTTTGGGTCATCTTGGGCCGTCATTGTGCTGGTTTTCGGGTTCAACGTGGCACGACTCGTAGAGGGAGTGCGGCGTGGAGTCGCAGCGGACGGGGCTTGGAAGGTGCCATTTTGAACGCTGCCATGAGGCCACTGGAGTCGGAGTGGGCGCCGGAGTCGAGGTGTTTGTTGGTGTGCGAGGTTTTTCCGTTTTTGGCGCATTGAAGCGACAAAGTTCTGTGCGAAACCGAAGAGCACATAGGAGAAGCACGCGGACGACAAAAACATGTATTATCAGGCGAAGCTGATACCTGTTTGGAGAGCAGAAGCGGCGGAGGCGGACGGAACGCCCATGGTGCCTGGGGCCGACTATGGCATTCGAGGCGTCGCGTGCGACGGGTGGGTGAGTTAAGTTGTCCAGCTTTTGCGGGACCGGGGACGACGCGACGCTGGTGGGTGATAGTGCGTAAGCGCAGGCCAGGCGAGACAAAAAAGGAACGGGCTCGTGCTAATGGCGCGTTTCTGGCCATTCACGTTGCGCGCGACGGATGTGGCGGGTGTCTCGTGCGGGCCCGTCTGGTGCGGTGATGGGAGATCAATGGCAGAGACCGCGCGGGACTTGTTGCAGAGTGGGCTGCGCTGCGAAGAGGCGAGTCGGTGCGTTCAGGGCTGTATGAGCATTGTAGACATGCGTCCGTCAGCAGAGATCGCGGGGACGAAGCACCCTACGGTGGGGGTGTTCGTTAAGGAATTTGCTCAGGCGGCAGCAGACCCTGGGGGGGTTCTTCTCTGCTGAGGGCGGCACTGATGCCCATGGCCAGTCCACGATCAGAGTTCCACTGGCTTCCAGACTTTGGATCCCCTATCCAACGCTTCCTTATCCAATGCCCCCACCGCAACGACATGTCCAGCGACGGGGACGTTGGCGTCGGCGTCGTCGGCGAGCGCGCGCGCCGCCGCGTGCGCGGTTGTGGAGCGCCTGGCTGGAGGACGAAGGCGCGCAGGCGAGCGCAGCGGTGGCGGGGGCCTGTCGACGAAACGTGTCGACTCGCGTGTTGTGGCGAGGGGGGTGGCGTAGAGGCTGCTCCACCATTTTTTTTTTTTTGTGTGTGTGTGTGTGTTCCCCCCTTCTTTTTATATCATATCGTGTGTATCCTTTCCCCCGAAGGACTCCATAGTCCGACGGGCGTGAGGCAGTGCCCGAAATCGCGTGGTCGCAAATCAAGGCGCGCAGCGGCGCGTGGGCGCAGACCGGGAGCGAAGAAGGTCGCGCAGAAGGCCGCGCGACCACGGGCGCGCGGGGGCCGCGGAAGTGGAGGGCGAGTCGGAGCGGCCCAGGGAGTGCGCAGCCATTGGATCTGGCCAGCAAAAAAACAGCCAGAGGTCGTGGGGGAAGTAGCGGACAGGATGATATCAGAGCGCGGGGAGGGCGAGAAGACCAGTGGAAGCGAAAGACCGCTTCTCTGCGTGCTCCGCGGAGGCCAGGGTGCGGGGGGGGGGTTCGCGTAGTTGAGGCACTTCGGAAGCGTGTGTGGGAGGGTATCATGGGGTGGCGGCGCGGGCTGGGCTTCCAGGTGGCCGCGTCGCAGGTCCCGAGCGCGTCGTTCCTGGGTGGGCATGCGTTGCGCGCGGCTTGTGTCGTGGCGCCATTCGGGGGCGGGCGGGGGGGGGCAGTGGCGACGCGGGGCGGATGGCGCAGCGCAGGTCAGTGGGGGCGGTGGCTGGTCACTGACGAAATCAGCGTGGCGAGCTCGAACTTCCTCTCGGAGCTCGGCGGGCGCGCGTGGTCGGTGATGTCTGGCGCTCGTCAGGGGGGGGTGGGCGCAGAGGGGGGGGGCGGGCCAGTCGGAGGGGTGGGCGTCTTGTCCTGTGGGGGCCGCTACCAGTTGGAGCCTCTGGCCGGCGCGTCATTGATTGGAATCTCGACTTCCTGGGTGCGGAAGGCGAGGCTGCGTGCGCTGGGCGCGGGGGATGACCGCGGTTGTTGTGTGTCTTGCGCGACGGACGAGGGGCCGTGGCGGGCGTGGGTGCAAACGCTTGGAGAACAGGGGCGCGTGGTTCTCGGCCGTCCAGGCTGGGTCTGGCGCGGGGGTCCGAGCGAACGGGCGCGCCAGTTTCTGCGCGGACGGCCGACCGACGTTCCTGGGTCTCGGACGGAGCAAGGGCCTGCGCGCGGCTCAGGCCGATGTCGACTCCGCGCGGCAGCCGTCGCGGGGGGTGGCGGCTGCGAGTGCGACCTTTTACCGAGGGAGGGCGCCGAGCCTGACGGCGCGCGATTCGCCGCCATGGACTGGGCCGCCGGTGAGCGGGAACAGAAATCCAGGCGCGTGCCAGGGTCGCCGCTCGGCGCCGCGCGCCTTCAGCCGGTCGTGCGCGTCAGCCGACAAGGTTCGGTAGTTGGGGTGCTGCGATCAAGCCCGTGCGCATTTCCCAGGGTGGCTGCTCTCGGTGGTCGGGGCGTCCGTGGCGCTTGCCGACAGGATGGGTCGGCCCGGCAAACGGCTCCTGCGAGGGCGCCGTGCGACCGTCCAGTCGTGGGTCGTGCGTGAGGGGGCAGGGCGCAGCGTGGTGGATGTGGCGCTCTGGGGGGCGCCGGGGCCGATGGCGTTGTAGTTCCGCGCTGACGCGTGGGCGCTGAGGCGCGTGGAGAAGCCGGGCTTGCGCCCCGTCGATTCCGGACGTCGGGCGCGGGGCGTGGACTCGTGTCGGAAGATGCCCGCGTCGGGGGTCCGGCGGACGCAGTCCTTGACGTGGCGGGTCGTTCGAGCGCGCCTCGCGCGGCGCAGGGGCGGGCACTGGGCGCGGTCGTTGCAGTTTTGGAGGGGGGGTCGCGGCGTGAGCTGGATGTCGAGTGGCGCGGCTATCGCCCGCGTGGACATGCGTCCGGGGCGGATCGTGCGTCGACCTGTCGGGCTGATGCCGCGCGCGCGTGGGGGGTGGGGTGGGGGGGCGCGGCTGCGCAGTGGGGGCGTGGCGTCTCTTAGTGGCAATATTGAGGAGAGGCCGATGCCGCGGATGACGCGAATCGGCGCGGGGGGCGGGCGGATTTCGCGCCCGCCGCGTTCGATGAGAAGGCTGGGCCCATTTTCTGTCGCCTATGTGCCGAGGTTTTCAAGCCAGACTGGTGCGCGGTGATACCTTCAGCGAGGAAGTCGCGAAACGAGTCACGCATGTGGCGGGTGGGCGTCGAGGGGCAATTCGGAGTTCGATGCGCGCAGGGCGGCGATTTCCCGTGGGCTGAGCAAGAGATTGTTGCGGACCAGTGCGCGACGGGAGCTGCCTGGGAGCGAGAACAAAACGGGGGCGGGCGAGACGGGCCGGGCGAGGCGCCAACGGCGGGCATGAGGGTGGTCAAATTGAGCGCGGCGCGGACAGCGCTGCGGCTGGAGGCGCCATTCAGGTGCCCAGCGCGCCCGAAACAGGACGGGGCCAGCCCGAGTCCGCAAACGCCCCGCATTTGGCGAGGGGCCGGGTGGGCAATTGTTTCGAGGGGGGTGGGAGTCGCGGACCTGTCGCGCGCGACGCGTGCCGTGGGGCGCGCGCCAACGGCCGCGGAGGCGCCGCGGCGTCGGGTGCCGCTCAGATGCTCCGCGTGCCCGGCGCAGGAAGATGGGAGCACACCGGCGTTCGCAAACGTCGCGCATCTGACGAAGTATCAGGTGGACCACTATAACCCGCCAGCCTGTCGTGTGCGGCGCACGTCGCGAGGCGCGCGCCAGCCGCGGGGCGTTCGCGTGTTCGGCGCGCCCGAATGAGTGGATGCGGAGGGGCCAACGTTCGCGGGGGGCATTATCTGAAGAAGGTCGCGGCGCATTGCCGTACTGTGCGTCTCGAGTGAAGTGGCGCGCGTTCTGTGCACCGCGTGTCGTCCAAGCGCGGACGGGGCGGTGCCAGCGTTCGGTGATGGGGGGGACCTGTCGAAAGTTTTCAATGGGGCTCTAGTGTATATTCCGAGCGCCACTGTGCTTCTACGGTGAATCACTTTCATGTTTTTGGCAGCATTTCGGCGTGCGCGCACGAAATCGTGCGCGCATGGCCCGCGTGGTATTGTTCGGCAGAGCTGGCTGGCGCGCGGTAGTCGTTGCGCGTTTTCGACATGCGCGCTCAGCCCGTTTGGTCTCATCTGACCGAATGGCTAAACACCTCTGCTGTCCTTATGCTTGCGGCGAGTGCGCGCGCGCAGGAATTTGACAACTGTGGGTAGATGCAGCCAGTTTTTCCCAACCATCCTGTGGTGTCGGGTCCTCGTTTTGAGGAGACGGTGCCCCGCGTCCTCCTCTTCCTCCGCCTCCTCCTCTTCTCCGTCCTCCTCCCCCCTCCCTCCTCCCATGGCTGCCGTCTCCCTCCGCGTGCAGAGTCGGCACGCCCTTCTCGTGTTTCGTGACCCCATACGAAGTTTCACCGAAGGCCTTATCGGCAGAGTCCGCATGGCGTACCCGCCCCGATTCGGCACACTCCTCACACGCTTTGTTGCCACAGGGAACTCCCCGCACGGCGCGCCCCCGCTCGAGTCGGCACGCCCCTCATGCATGCCGTGCATGGCGCACCCGCGCTCGATTCGGCACGCCCCTCGCACGCATTGTGGCTCCGTGCAAACTTCCACCGACGGCCCCAACTGCACCGTCCGTTTGGCGTGCCCGCGCCCGATGCGGCACGCCCCTCGCAGGTTTCGTGGCCCTGCCAGGGCGGGCGCCGCCGAAAGCCCCAGCGGCGGCGCCCGCGTGGCGTACCCGCGCCCAGTTCGGCACGCCCCTCACGCGTTTCCTTTGCCTCACAGGGAGCTCCACCGGAGGCCCCAGTGGCAGCGCCCGCGTGGCGCACCCGCGCTCAAGTCGGCACGCCCCTCACCACGTTTCGTGCATGGCGCACCCGCGCCCGAGTCGGCACGCCTCTCAAGCGTTTTGCGGCCCCAGAAGATTTTCCCCCGAAGCCCCAACGGCACTGTCCGCATGGCATACCCGCGCCCGATTCGGCACACCCCTCACAGGTTTCGTGGCCCCCCCATAAATGAGTTACACCGAAAACGACTTTCACATTTGCGGTACTTGCAACTGCATATGGTTGGGTCTTTCGCCCGGAATCGTTTGTAGTGTTTCTGTTTGTTGTGTTTTGTTGTATTAGTTTCTGAACGGCTGTGTTTTGAAGTGGTAAGACAAAGATCTTTTTTTGTGTCTGATTTAGACGCGCGCGCGGCGGCGCGCGCATGTGCCCTGTAGTGTGTTTTGTGTTTGCAAGGGGTTTCTTGCAGAAAGCCAATCAACGCATGTGCACCGCATAGTACAGTGTGGCATGGATGAAAGGGGGGTCGATGCTGGGACTGGCTGGCATGATATTCTTTGTTAGTGAGGGTGACCAATGGTGTAGAGTAAGTATGTAACACGAATGAGCCCGATGCGACCCCAATTCGGAGAACGCTTCTTAATTTGCATTGCTTGGCATTGCTTTGCGTTGCGTCATTTTGATTGGCACGGTATTGATTTGCATTGTTTGCCGTTGCTTGGCATTGCCTGGTATTTCTTGGCCTCTCTTGGCGTTGCTTGGCACTGTTCGGCGTTGCTCGGCATTGCTTGATGCTGCTTGGCGCTGCTAGGTGTTGCTCGGCATTGTTTGACATTGCGTTGCGTTGCTTGCTTTGCTTTGCGTTGCTTGGCTTGGCGTTGCTCGGCATGAGTGGCGCTGTTTGGCGTGGCTTGGCATTGCGTGGTGTCGTTTGGCGCTGCTTTGCGTTGTTTGGTGTTGCTTGGCGTTGCTTGGCGTTGCTCGGCGTTGCTTGGCGTGGCTTGGCGTTGCTTGGCATTGCTTGGCCTCATTCGGCGGCTTAAAAAAACCGGACCAAGCAACCCGAGGAATGCAGTTAGGAATCAAGGCCAAGCAATTCGAGGAAGGCCTGTCCAGAAACAGTGAGGAAACAGCAAGCAACCCGAGGAGGGCCGGCGTGCAGGCCTTCAGCAGCAGTCGGGAACAAGACGAAGCAACCCGATAATCTCATCGATTGCCAACCAGTCCGCTAGGCACCACATACGATGAGAGACAAAGAGCAGTCATTGGCCCTCAACGCTTGCACCTGACTCTGCCGCGTGGTGACGAGCATTCCCCGCACGCCTCGCATATCGACAAGCGTTCTTGTTGATCTGATGCGTTTGCTGTCAGTTTGTTCTGCGACCGGTCCTCAGGTCTGGTGGCCACCATGAAGTCAGAGTTTTCGGCGAAAGAGCAGGCTCCAGTGCATCTCCCTCTCTCTCTCTCTTTCTCTCCCTTTCTCCCTTCTTTTCCCTTGACTCCGCCACTCCCTCGTTGCCTTGCTCCCTGGCTCCCTCTCTCTCCCCTTCTCCACCCTCCCCACCTCACCTCACAACACCTCTCCTCCCTCCCTCCCCTTCCCCTTTCCCTCCTTTTTTCTCCCCTGTCACCCCTGTCCCCCCGTTCCCCCTTTCCCCCGTCCCCCTGTCCCCCTGCCCCCCCGTCCCCCTTCACTCCTCCCCGCTCCCCCCCCCTTCCCTCCTTCCGCTTCGTGCGCGTTTGGGCACAAGGTGGTGGAGGGGGCTCACGTTTTCTGCCGCGGCGCGGCCGCGCTCCTGCGCCTCCCGCGGCGGCTCTGGCGCGCGCGCTCTGGCGGGGGGGCCAGGCGCGGGGGGGGCGCGCCTCCACGACGACCGCGCGACCTCTCCCGTGTCCTCGCTGGCCCAGTGCCCTCTCTAGGAGGCCACGTGCGAACCTCCCCCCCGCGATTTCTGAGGGGGGAGGCGGGGTCATTGGGGACCTCCCCAGGCCACATGCGACTCCCCCCCCCCCACGATTTCTGGGGGGGGAGGTGGGGTCGTGCGGGACCTCCCGAGCGAAGTGAACCCCACCTCCCCCCTCAGAAATCGCGGGGTGGGTAGGGTAGGGTTCGCATGTGGCCTCCTACTCTCGCGGACAACGTCGTTCGGTAGCAAATCATGGGAGCCTGGTATACTTTCTGAATTCCGTCTTGAGCGTCGATTGGCGTCGATTAGCGTCTGGGAGTCGACGAGATCGCGCCGATTTAGCGTCGGTTGGCGTCGATTAGCGTCGATTAGCGCCGATTTAGCATCGATTTAGCGTGCATTTAGTGTCGACCAGCGTCGATTCGCGAGAGCCGACAAAACGGCATGGGAGGCTCTCGCGAGTTGCCACCGAAGCGTCGCATGCGGGAGCGTTCACGGCGAGATCCACAGACGCTCGCGGGGCGCCCGCAGGCTCGGAACGCGCCCCCTGCGCCCGGCGGTGCGCGCAGCTGCGGCCGCCGGCGCGGGTGGGCCTGGCCCCGGGGCCGAGGCCCCTGCTCGCCCGCGCGCCCTCGCGGGTGGCGCGCCCGGGGGCCCGGAGCGCGGGGCCAGGTGCGAGGGCCATGACGAGGACGCGCACGGGCGCACTGGTCGGGGGAGGTCGCCGCGGCCTCCGACGGCACGGCGGCCTGCCGCGAGCCGCCCCGGCCCACGCTGCCCCCTGGCGCGGCGCCGCGGCGTCTGGGCCCCGGGTGCTCTTGGGGGAACCGGGAGGTACCGATACCGCTGCTCCCCAGACCTCTCCGGGGGTGCGTTCCGGCCAGGATTTCGAGGCGAATTCAGCGGTGGCGACGAGGGCTACCCAGGAGGCCCAAGAAGTGGGAAAACGAGGGAAGGGTAGGGGTACGTGATTCACCTCATCGGGCAATTGAGAACCCCCCCCTCTCCGGCGAAAGTATAACGCACCCGGCACCCCAGAAGCGCTACCCTGGCACCTCGCACCTTTATGTGAACGCAGACGAGTCTGCTCGCCGGAACAAGCAAACCGAGTCGTCCTGGCGTCGCCTAAGTTATGGACTTTGTGTACGTATGTGCGCGAACGCTGTCTGCACGCGTATCAGGCACCCCAGTGGTGGGGGAAGGTGTGCCGCACGTGTGGAGGGACGTATCTCGTTGGTCTTGCACGGGGGTGGATCTCCGCCTTGACCGTTGCTATGCCTCGGGGTCTTGTTTTATCTTTTCCCAGGCTCAGCGCTGGGTTGGATTGCTCACCGTCCTGGCGTTCTTTACACCAGGGGTTAGCGTTGCGTATCGTCCTGGAGTCGTCCAGGCAGTCTTTCTGTGTGCGTGCGCGCGAGCGCTTTCTGCACGAGTATCAGGCACCCCGATTGTGGGGGAAGGTGCGCTGCACGTGTGGATGGATTTTCTCTGTGGCTTTGCACGGGGGTGGAGTCTGTCCGCCCTGACCGATACTATGCCACAGGTTGTGGTTGTGGTTTTCCCTGGCGCAGCGCTGGGGTTGTCTGGGGATTGGGCTTCTTCGGGGGATGTGCAGGTTACGCAGCCTGCCATGGTACCCGAGCCTTGGGTTCCTCCCGCCGCAGTTGCCCTAGTCCCCTTCCTTTTTTTTTCTCGGTGGGAGTTGGGGGCTCGGTCGGCGGGAGGTGCAGGTTACGCAGCCTGCCATGGAACCCGAGCCTTGGGGTTCCTCCCGCCGCCGTTGCCCTTCTCCCCCCTCCTTTTCCCCGTTTGGGGTTGAGTTTCCCTGGTGCACGGCTAGGTGGTCCTCGTGGGCCCCTGGCGACCGCTGCGCAGGAGAAGCCAGTGGCAGCATTGGGCACGGGGGCAGCCTGGGAAGCCAGTTGCCCCGACCGATGCTCAATCCCATTCCCCCTCCCCACTGCGTGGAGGGGGTTGCCTCCCTGGGCGCAACGCCGTCTAGGGTGGTTTTTACGCCAAGCGAGCGTCCTCTGAGGGTTTCGCCGCTCCTCAGCTGCATCGTGGCTGCATTGTGGATGTTTAAAAAAAACCCTCTTCCCCCCCCGCTCCTCCTTTTCCTCCTCCTCGGCTTCGCTTTCGCCTTCGTCGTCCTCGTCGTGATAGTCGTCCTCCTCGTCGTTGTCCTCGTCCTCGTCCTCGTCATCGTTCTCGTCCTCGTTGGCGTCGTCGTCGTCATCGTCTTCGTTGTCGTCGCGTTCGCTGTCGTCCTCATCCTCTCCCACTTCCTCGCCAATTCGGCATCTCCCTGGCTTAGATTCGTCGGCGTCCAGGGGCAATGGCGCCCTCGTGGAACGCGGCCCGAAACGTATTGGCGGGCGTCTCGAGGTGGGCGAAGCGTGCGACACAGGAAGGTCGGATGGTCGGAGATGGCGAAAACTGTCTCGATGGGCTAGGGGGCGCACGCGCTCGCAGGAGCTGAAGGATCACTTGAAGAAGGTCGCGAAGGAGACCGAGCCGCTTCCTGGGCCTTCTCGGGATGCAAGCAGACATGATGAATGAGAAGGGTGCCAGGCGAGAGGCACGGAGTGCATGGGGTAAGGGGCGGAGTTGAGGGACAGAGGGGATAAGCATGGGGAAACGGGGAGAACGAGGATGGGAAATAGGGGTAGGTAGGGGTATCGGCGGCGAGCGAGGGGGGGAAATGAGAAGGAGGAGGCCTTCTCAGAAGGCGGCGGGACTTCTCAGAAACCCTCGCGCCTTCTAAGAAGTTTTCTTTGTCTTTGGGGAAGGCTTATAACACTTCTCCGGAGGCTTGGGTACTTCCGAGCCTTCTGATAAGGCCCGCCCCTTCTCACTTCCCCCCCTCGCTCGCCGCCGAGGGTAGGCACCAGTGCAGTTCCGGAAACTTGTGGGAATTACGTTGGTGTCCAACGGAGGGGTGGGGGCTGGGCGCGGCAATAGATCACATCGGGCCACGCGCGAGAGGTGGCCGTCGTAGAATACCTTGAACGCATGGGCGGAGTGTGCTGCGATGGATCATGCGCTTTCTCGATGGTGCAGACTGGCTGTTGCACGTCCTTGGTTCCAGCTATGCGGGTGCCTGCTCGTCCGCTGCTTAGAACAAGGAGAGAAGAAAGCAGTGGCCACCAAGGGCCAGGATAGTTGTTAGTGCCGGCCGACTCTTTCATTGAGCACCCTCGTTCTCCTTTGAAGAAACTGTTTTGGCGCCCCGCCGAGTCTAGAATGGATGACTGCGCACGCATCGATGCCCATTGAGGATGAGGAATTTTTGAGATCAGGAAAATGAAGATGTGGATGAGGAGGGGGATGATTTTGGGCATGAAGCAGGGGATAACATAACACATACAATCGTGAGTTAAGCAAAATGAGGGGTGCTTGGAGTGAGGCAGGAGGGGAGGAGGAGGAGAGGAGAGGAATGAAAGAGGTGAGAAACATCAGATGAAGCGGTGACAAGAGAGGAGATGACAGCATGAACAGATGGGGAGGATGGCTGGGATGCAGAGCTAGTGTTGGCGGGAGAGGGCGGAGATGGTGGAAACGATGCAGAGGAGAGATGGCCCAAGAAGAGCGTTGCCGAATACTGCTGCTGCTGCTCCTTCCCGTCCACCCTCGTGGATCCTGCCTCCTCCTCCTCCTCGCCCTCCTCCTCCTCCTCCTCCTTCTGCTCCTGCCCCTCCTCCTCCTCCTCCTCCTCCTCCTCCTCCTCCTCCTCCTCCTCCTCCCCCTGGAGGAGAACGCGGTTTTCAACATGTCGCACCCCGACAAGGAGCGCCGCCGCTCCGGGCAACGGAAGGGCTCGGGGCCCCGAGCGACGCCGCCACGCTCGGCCCAATTCTGCATTCGGGGAAAGGGGCAGGCGGCAGCACCTCCTCCCCTCCCGCCTCCCTCATCCCGCTTCCCCTCCCGACCCTCCTCCCTTCCCTTCACCGTCTCCTTCTCTCCTCTTCAAGTCTCTGCGTCCTCCCCATCCTCCTCCGCCCCCCCCCCCTCCCTCATTTCTCCGCGTTCCTCCGTCTCCCTCTCTCTTTATCCTTCTGCACCATGGGCTCAACCGCCCTCTTAGAACGCCTTGCCCGACCCCTCAGTCCCGTCTCTTAGCCTCCCAGCCTGGTGATATGCAGCCGTGACAACATTTTCTGTTTTGTAAAAGCCAATTTGATGTGGCGAAGATATCTCCCATCCCTTATACGATTCTGAACGTCCTGATGATGGCGTCTTTAGGCGGAGTAATTTCCGATCCGCCTGATGCTGAAAACTATGTTATTCCCAAAGCCATATTGGAAACTACTCCGCGCCACACCCTGTAGAGTATGGAGCAGGATGCGCCCGCACGCGGAGTAGCTTGAGTACTTTAACTCCGAACTGCTCCGCCCTGCTGCGCTATGGGCGAAGGCAGATTGAAAAACCTTCCGTCACGGTGGTGTGATGGACCTTGCCCAGCGGTAAGAGGAACAAGCCAGCGGTCCCTCTTTCACCGCTCCCGCGGCGAAATAGCTAGCCCCCGCCCCGCAAGCGTCCGCAGCATCACTGCTGCCCCCCGCAGCCGCGGCCGCCGCAACGCGGCCCCCAAGCCCAAATCCGCCCAGACCTGCAAAGAGGCGTGTGCGGCGGCGTTCGCCAAGGCTGGCTCCGACCGTGCGCTGGCAGCTTACAGCCGCCAACACCGCGGCCGGCCCTCTCGAGCAGAAGCTCCAGACGCTCGCTTCGCAGCAGGGCAAGCTCCGCGACGCGCCGCTGCAGTTGTACACAATCGGCGGCGAGCGAGGGGGGCAAATGAAAAGGAGAAGTCCTTCTCAGAAGGCGGTGGGACTTCTCAAAAGCCCTCGCGCCCCCTGAGAAGTTAATTCGGTGTTTTCGGGGAAGGCTCAGAAAACCCTTCCGATGTCAGTGGGACCTCCGAGCCTTTGAGAAGGCCCGCCCCTTCTCACCTCCTCCCCAGGCTCGCCGCCCCCAGAGATCCGACGTCGTGATTTTTTCAATACGGGGTCCCCAGAAGTCTCGATCCCTTCCCCGGGACCAGTTTTTCATCCCGAGTCGTTCCTTGACGGTCCCGGGGTCCGGCGAGGGCCCCTGGAGGCCGAAAGCCGAGAAAAACCTCCGTCCTGAATCTTCCAAGACGTTGGATCTCTGGGCCGGCACAGTGCACGGGGCCCGCTGGATCCAGATCCACTTCGGCTGCGCCCGCGGGAGGAGGCAGCCTCTGCCCCCTGCGGACGCCTTCCGGGCCGCGGGCACCACCGCGGGCGGCGAGGTCCCCGCGCCGCGCCTGGCCCTCGACCCCCGCCACCTGCACCGCGCGCGCTGCACGGCTCGCAAGGCGCCTGCGCGCAAGCGTCCGACAAGCACAATGTTCGCCTCGGCGTCGCAAGGTCCCCCGCGGCGGATCCTGTGCATTTTGCGAGCAGTTACTTTTGCGAGCAGTGGAGCGCGCTCGTCTACACCTGGATACGCCCCAGGTCACCCCGGACCCCCCGTCGAGCGGAGGATGGAGGGGGACACTTCGGAGCTCCATACAGCCAACTCGCATAGTAAAGATGGGCAGCCTTCCCAAGGGTACCCTTTGGCATCCTTGCCCCTTCGGCCCATCCTTAGCGACTTTCGCTGGCCAGCCTCGTTGAAACAACGTCTACATGGGCCTCCAAGGCCCTCGCGTCCTTACTGCGCATCCTTGCGATACGGGTTGACGGTACCCCTCCCGCTCACACG